CGCATTGGATATGCTGTTGCAGCTGCCACGATCATGGCATCCATCCTTGCCGATGTTACTCGTGGCTTCCCGCTTCGAGGTTTCGTCTCCACTGAGCCCTCTTCCTCCCACCGGCGGATCCACCTCCTAATCGTCTTAGTGCTCCTCCCCACTTCGAGAGCAATGTTCAGCACAGTTGCCCCGGCTCTCCACATCCCGATGATTTGGCCTCGCTCAGCAATCACTGCCGACGAATTTGCTTGTCCTTCTACATACACACCTCAAAGTAAGTGTACTTTTCTACCTTTTTTGTTGAATTTAGGCAATTTTCGGTGAGCTGGAACCAATTACCCAAAAACCCATTGAAACAATGGTTTCGGTTAACGAGTTTTTCGGTTAACAAGCAACCTTCTAGAACGGATTGTGCTCGTTAACCGAGGGACCACTGTATTTGCAAATCAATGTTTCATAGTGTTTTACATTTCGTTCGAAGTGATTCCATTGTAACCTCGGTTCATGAAATCATAGTAACGTTATATTCCTATTTGGCTATACATCCCCTGGGGCTGAAATAGAATCTATGGTGCATAAATAAGTGGGGTTACTCATGACATTATTGGTTTTGCATATGGTATCACAATTCATCATATTTCATTACATTATGTAGAGAATAGGTGGTATACTGCAGATATCATGGTAAATATCAGGTGCAAGAAGAAAGAACGAAAGGTGCAACTCAAAATCAGAAATACCAAACGAACCGAGACTGTTGTGCACGTGTTATTGTGTTCATTTTCAAATACATTAAACCCGGGGGGTTGGGAAATACTTTTTTGGGGAGTGTACATGCACTACATTCTTCAATAAAATCAGGAGTGAAATTCTTAAAAGAAAATAATTAAAAACATCAAATCACAATTGGCACTTCAAGGATCAATCATCAAATAAGATAAAATACAAAATAATATAGATGTATTTTTAAATCAAAGTGGCATACAAACTCCTTTTATTTAACAAATTTAATCTATGTTGTAAATATATTTTACATTTTATATATTTAACAAGTTGTCCAGAGGCAGATTCAGCGGGAGGCCCGGACCCCCCTTTTCATCAGAAAATTCCAATACTTTTTCTTTAATGCAGAGTAGTTTTGTATAGTAAAAAGTACACAAATTACTATTGACCTCAGAATATATCCTAATAACAAGTAAACATGGCTTCAAAATGACCTTAAAATGACCATGACATTGACCAAATTTAAAACAAAAATCTGGGTGGGCTCGCTGTGTTTGCCATGTTCCCCCACCCACAACTTCTTGGACTGCCCACCCTTTGATATTCCTGGATCCACCTCTGTTGCCTTCAGAAATCTCATAAAATACTCAGTAAGCTTCTCACTTAAAGACCTTCATGCACCATGCATTGGTGATATTCTGCCAAACCAATCTCTTACGCTAACACCCAAATGTTATTAAAAAAATGGTGTACAGCATTGCCCTTATTCCCACACCAAAAAATACTGTACAGTATCTCCTCGTCTTACGACGGGGTTCCGTCCCTACAACCAGGTCTTAAGTCAAATTGGTCCAAGTCGAAAAGGCAAAAACAATACATAGAAATTCTAAAATGGGTGTCTCTTTTTCTTCTCAGCACCACGAGAACTCTCACTTTTATGCTTGCCAGCCATTTTAAAGGGAATTACAAAAAAAAAATTATCAGTACACAGCGCGATCACCAACATCAGGACTCGAAAATACGTAATTTGAAAAATATTTTATACGACCACAGCAATTGAATGTCCGGGTTATCGTAAGTCGAGGAGTACCTGTAAATTTAAAAATAATGGAAATACCTGTACTGGTGTGGTACTGTATTTCAAAAAAGCAAATAACAGACAATACAGTGAACACAGCTCTGATGCTTGCAAAATTTAAATCACAGACAATTTTAATGCTTGATTAATTGTAGTAAGTGATTGCAGAAACCTTAAAACATGGTAGGTGTTACTACACATTTTGATTCAGACCTAAAACAAGTAATGGTAATATTGTCCTACTCTTGAAGACCTGCCACGATAAAACACATACAGTATTCTAAACGTTAATATATATTCAATAATATCAAAACAGTATACCTGTGCTCCAATATTCTATAACATCTAGACAAGCACTTTAAAGCACAAGAATGCACAACAATGCAATTGTATGTTTTCCTTCAATTATTGCTTTGGGCAGAAACAAACAAAACATTAGAAGGTAGTCTTACTGCGGATATCCCTCTAATGTAAATGTCTTAAAAAGATAAAAAGGTAATAGTACTCCTTATATTCTATGATTCTATAGTCCACATAGAAATAATAAGAACTTTGAAGACCTGTACTACCTTAACTTATACACACATAGAGTGCCTATTATATGCTCTTAAGAGATATACAGATACTTGTGCTTACTATAAATTCATCTCCATAAAAAAGTGAGGCATAGAGATTCATAGTTACTGTGAAAGTTTTCTTCTGGCAGATAATGTCTCTTCTAGCATGATGGGGCTGTGACACAACACAGAAACCATCCCTAAGGCACAGTGAGCAAACGGTTCACATACAAAAACTGATCCAAAGACACAGTGACCTCCCCTAATACACTGTAAATTAACCACGAGAAACCATGATCAACTCTTACAACATTCGAAATTAAGACACAATTATCAACCTTAAGTTTGTGATGCTTAGTAACATACAGTTAACGTTGTTTAGTCTGTACATGGATGTTATTTAGTGCAGAATAACCAAACCTTCTCTATCTCTTGCATGTCATTGGCTCTTACCTTTAAAATTATGATAATGATGCTACAGTACTGATACATGGTAGTAAAATTACCGATATCCCTTAGATGTGTAGTGAAGCTTAAATATATATTGAAATATTTATAAATAAGAATACAAGTACTCTTGTACAGCAATTCATATAATTTTAATAGCATTCCTCTATTATAAAGAAAACAGCATCCAATGACCTATTACACAGCAAGTATACATCTAACAACTTAGTAAGGTAACAAGTAGCAAAGATAACAACAGACACTCCCCAAACAAATTGATCTTCAAGTTAAAAATTACATAAAGTACTGTACATTGACACCATAAAACAATAACACTATTCATGGAGCAACTGTGCATTCTAATGACTTATAAGAACATGAACTTTATTGTGCACACTGTATCTGTCTTTGTAGCTCATTCATAAAATTATTGAACAAAATTTTAGAAAAAGTTTAAAAGTACAGACAAGGAAAATTGGCATCGCTAACCTAGCTTGTATTTACAACCATAATACAGGAGACCCCAATTTACAAGAGGGTTATGCTCTTGAAAAAGCAATCATAAATCGAAGTATGTTTTCCCATCGACTCCCAATATATGATTGGAGATACTGTACACTCCTTACAAAAAGATAAAATAATGCCACACTCAACCTGATAAGTTATTGAATAATCCTTAATTCCCACAGCCTTGTTTACTGGACATGGATTCTAAAATGACAGATGTTTGGGCAATGTCTAACACTGGGTCAAGTACAGTATTAGTCTTCAGGGTGTCTCGGTTCCTGCAGGGCATACTCTGTACTTTTTGCTTAATATTTTGAATTTATTTTGCCCTCACAATGATCTAAAACAAACACAAAAGTGAAAAATCAGAGTTCCACAGTGCTCAAAGAAAACGTAGTGTTAAGTATAAAAAAGCGGAAATTCTGCAAAAACTGCATCAAGGACCATCCATGAAAAATGAGACTGGATAAAAAGGTGCCACATAAATGGTTCAAAGAATGAAAGAATTGTCAATTCTCGACTAATGCTGTGATTAAGCGAAGTTGTTTCATGAAGAAATGAAAATTCCACACTTTTTCTTACAAGTCTACACCTTCACTATACAGTACATACCAGTAATTAGCATATTTAATTTTAGAATAAAGAGTCACAGTCTTTTATTTAATTTTCCCCTGTATGACATGGGAGTAAATGAGGAGAAATGAGACAATCCAGCAACTGTGTGCATGATGGTGTGAGTGACAAGTCTACTGTACGTACTTGTTTTCATGCGAGTTGGGAGTAAGTTATACAGTAGGGTCATCATCACCATTTTATGGCCATTTTCCGCACTTGTAGGAAAATGATGACTCATTGAAAACTTATTTGTAGACTTACCGGTGTATGTATTAAAAAATAATGACATACTGTATATTATTTGCAGAAACTACCAGTAATAATGTAACCAAACTGACAAAAGTACTCTACTCCAGTTTATTACATGCTTTGCTTGGACACATGTTCATGATAGTATCCACTTTACTGTACGTAATTATCTATTATATAGAAACCTCTTGGTCCCAAACTATTTAGTTGACAGATACAGTAATTACATAATTAAGAACACTTCCTATTATTGTATGCAATATACCCTCAAATACTAATGCCAGTATCTCCGCAGCCTCCGATGCTGTGGAAAAATAACAAATATTTTTTTGTAACCGGGGGTTTTGCTCATACTGTACTGAAACTTGGAACAAATATTTTTCCATAGCCTTAAATTCTATGTACAGTCGGCCACAGGAATAAGTATACACACTGTAGCTGTAAGGTCCAAAAATGGTCTGGTAACGTTGAAACTGCACATCCAGTCGCATGATGAAACTCATCTCCCCCCACCTGTTATCTCTACCTATTTTCTGTTTCTCCTTCTTTAATACAGTATTCTATTTACTCCTCTTCCTTCCTTTACTAATCCAAGCATCAGTAAAAAAAAAAAGTAGGGTAAGAGAAAAAGTGGGAGAGGAGGAGGGAGCTGTACGATGACTGCAATCCCATTCGGCAACAAGTTTACTACCATTGGATACAATACAGTATATTATTTGTAATATAAACACAAGACACTAGTAAAACATTCACAACAAATGTATTAATAACATACCTGTATATGTAGGAATAAAACATAAATTACAGGTCATTTTGTAATTTTGTCTGTTCTGTTCAGGACAGTGTTACCATATATTTTGTCTCAAACACGAACCGTAGGCGTACGAGGTCTGTCCAAAAAAAAAAAAAAATTTTAAATAGCACGCCAACGAGCCGGCACAGCATGCTCATGACGGGAGCGCTGTGTAGCGGTGACCTTGACCTTTAGTCTAACATTAGTCGCATCACGCCACATCAATTAGTCATCGAGCTACACTCGCTAGAGTGAACGTGTGTTTAGTGCACTTGGCGATTTGTTGCAAGTTGAACAATGAAGGATCATGAAGAGCAACCTGTTTGCGTGAAATTCTGCTTGAAATTGGGAAAACTTTTAAGAGACTTTTAAAATGTTGCAACAGGCTTATGAGGAGGATTGTTTGAGCCGTACGCAATGTCATGTGTGGCACCAGCGTTTCAAAAGGGGAAGAACATCCACCGAAGACGATCTCAAATCTGGACGCCAGAATCGCTCTAATGTGGAGGTGATGTTGATCGTCTTTTTTTTATTGGGAGGGCGTCGTTCATCATGAGTTTGTTTCACGTGGTCAGACAGTCAATAAAGAGTTTTACTTGGAGGTCCTGAAGCGTTTGAGGGAGGCAGTGCAAAGGAAGAGGCCTGAGGCGTGGACAAACATGACCTGGATGCTGCACCATGACATTGCACCTGCTCACGAGTCGCTCCTTATCCGTTACTTTTTGGCGAAGCACGAGACGACTATCATCCCCCAGCCGCCCTACTCTCTGGATTTGGCCCCTGCGGACTCTTTTTTGTTCCCAAAGTTGAAATCCACCTTGAAAGGTCGCCGATTTCAGAAGATAGAAGAAAATTCGCGACGAGACCTGCGCACCATCCCTCAAAACGCGTTCCAGGACCCTTTCCAGAACTGGAGGGGAGTACTTTGAAGGAGACAAGTCTGATTAAGTTGTAAGTAACGCAATAAATTTTTTTTAATTTGTTTTTTACAGACCTCGTATACTTATTCTTGTGGCCGACTGTACATTGGGGTCTCCCTGTATTTATACAGTACAGCACAAAGAAAAATCTATTCCCTTATTCATTTACTCAAGATGACTGATACATACCAAAAAGTTGTGCTTGTGAGAAAAAATTTACTACTGACCACGTACAAAATGCTTTATTTTTTTAACTCTTTCAAACATTTTTGCCAGTGCACAAGGTGGCCAGACACAAGGAGCAATACACACACACACACACATTTTTGCTTTTAATTGATTGTCACGCCTCCACTTTTAATGATGTAAAAGATGTCTTCTGCTATGATACTACCTTTCCACAACAAAGTCCCAAACCCGGTTTACCCCTATTCCTGCACTATCTGCACACAAGTCAGCGTTACTCACCTGCAGCAATTGTGGCACTTTCCCAAAAAACTCATCAACACACTTCTGCCCATTCAATCATGTATTAAGATGCTTTCAAATGACCATCTCCATAACCTCTAAAACACTTCCTCCAGCCTTCCACAATAATTTATTAAAGAGACTATGCAACAAGCTTAACAGTACAGTACTATGACACTCCCGGTGTTCCTTTGCTGTATATAGTATTGCCCAACATTTCATACCATATAAAATACCTTCCAACTTGTATTACCACTTTTAATCGCATATTACATTTCCTATAAACTTGTTTCCATAATCTCAACAATAATTGGTCTTTTCTATCATTCTCTAAAGTAGGTTTACATGGACCTTCAAAAGAATATCATCACAACTTTAAGTCAAGGGTATAATGTTACTCTTAATTACAAAATATGTCGCTGTTACAGACAACATCAAAAGCTTCTGCACTAGCTGCAAGCATCAATTTTCATATGATACAGTATAGAGTATCAGATCCATTATATTTGAGAACATAACTACAAATAACCCAAGTATCACTCAATGTTATTAGCTTGAAACGTATTACTTCTCAATATCTGATAATAGTATTTAGCCTGATTTTTGTTGTACTTTGCTATTACAAACACTGCACTGCTGGCTACAATTTATTATAATTCCTACAAATGCCTAAGGCATAGAAAAATAAATGCTTTGTTTGCAGTAATCCAACAGTCGCAACCAATAATCTTATTTTGTAAAAAATGAAATTTATTCAGGAGATAATCAAGGCAAATAAATTTTCAGAAGCCCAGTATGAAATACAGTGACATCTCCGTTAGCAGGAACAATTGATGCAGAGCACTTCCAGGAATGAGAGATTTCTGGGAACCGAGACGATTCTCTCCAAGCCGGAAAAATATCCCTCATCCCTGGAATTTTCCGGGTAACAGAAAAATGTTCTCGGAAGTTCCAGAAATTGCGCATTACATCAGCTCTCGAACCTGGAAAAATATCCCCTGTCCCCGTAATTTTCTTGGTTCCGGAAAATTTTTCTTGGAATTTCCGGAAAATGCGCCTGATTTTCATCTCTCAAACCCAGAAAAAACTCCCCCACCCCCCGGAATTTTCCGGGTACTGGGAAAAGTTTCTCTGCATTCGCCAGAAAATGTGCCCCTCGGAAAATCATTCCCAAAATCGTTCCGGCTATTGGAGGTATTACTGCGTATAAGGATTACAACTTATACTGGAAGTTACCTTCACTGGTAATTTGTATTTGGGTCTTGGTACTGGTAATAAAATTTAGGATAAACAATTCTATCTACCAACCCAAAATTTTTGGCCAAGTTACTTCAAATACAACCTTTTTAGACCTTAGTATATACCGTATTTCTCGGCGTATAAGCCGCCCAGACGTATAAGTCGACCCCCGAATATTTAGCCGAAATATCAGTTCTCGGCTGATGTGGTGTGTATAAGCCGACCCCCAAACTCGACTCATTATGAGCGGTTTGATGTTCGATACTGCACCGACTCACCTTCATAGTCGACCTCTTATCTGTTTACCACATTCTCTCCATTTGGTATTTTCCATATCTATGAGGTGGTTGTCTTTAAACCTTATAGTAAATTGGCCCCACCCGCAAAACGAAGGAAATACGACGCATCGTTCAAGTTAAAAGTTGTAAGATATGCAAAGGCGTCAAACAACTCTGCAGCTGCAAGAGAATTCGGCGTTAACGAGAAGCAGGTTCGAGAGTGGAAGAAGGATGAAGAAAAGTTAATAGACGTCCCCAGAACAAAATGTGCCCTGAGAAGAGGTAAACAACAGTGGCCATAACTGGAGGAGAAATTATTCGAGTAGGTCAACGAGAACCGAGAGAGTGGATACATCATCACCAGGAACGCCATATGTATTTACGCAATGAAGCGTAAATAGATTCTTGGAATGCTATAAAAACAGAAACAGTAGTAAAATCATTCAAAAAATGTTGCATATCCAATTCTCTGGATGGTGAGAGGGTGATGTGGTGTGGGAAGATGATGACGAAGCCGAAGCCACAGCCGAGTCGGAGGACTGGGATTCACCGGAAGGAACCACTAGTTCAGAGGAAGATTTTGAAAGACTCTAAACCATTTCAATTCTATGTTGTATTTTAACATTTTTACTGATGTCTTTTTTTTTTATCCATGTATTAAATAAAGAATTTGTATTTCAACACTTTCTTTTACACTAATGTCCTTGGGGTGAATAACAGCTGATCAAGCCACCACGCCAGTATTTCTATTATTTTAGTATGTTAGGCCATTTCAGTTCATGTCTTTATAATAACAAAGTTGTATTTCAAAGTTGTTTTATGTATGGGTTCTCAGAAAGAGAATAACAACTGAATGGTCAGTCACATTGAAATTTGTAAGTAGTAAATTGTGTGTCTCGCTGCTATGCACCAGAAATTTTTAAGGTTCATGATCTAGATCTGCTGTATAAGCCGACGCCATGATTTTGGGGAATTTTGGGAGGCTTACAACCTCGGCTTATACGCCGAGAAATACGGTACTCATAAAACTTGTGTCAACATATATAAATTTTTGGAAAACAATATAAATACAGGTGTATAATTACAGATTGTATAAAACAGAAAAGCTGCAAGACTGTACAGTAACACAATTCTTTACAGCAAAGTATAGATACTTATGCTAACACTCTTACTGTAACTTTTAAATAGCATATAATATATAGCATAGGCACTGTCAGTACAGTATAGATAAAGCTCCTCTGTTTAGCATGAAATAAAACTGTTTTCATTTACATTCATAAATACAGTTTTTTACATGCATCTAAAGAAATTGCCCTATTATCAGTCAACCTTTCCACTTGAAAAAATAAAATAAAAAATTCATCTCATGAGTATATACCTCATATTTTATAACATGATGCCTTCTTACTTTTAATCAAATGAGATACTGAATTATAACAACAGTATATCATATTGATGTCCCGACAAGTGGACTGGGAAAGGTCCCTCTATGCAGTAAAGCAGTAATAAACAAAAACCCTCATAACACAGTAAATTGTTCCACACTATGGTCTAACTTTGAAGACAGCCTGTACTGTACATTCAAGCTTTTGCTGTTGATGTATGGAAAAAGATATTTCCACATATGCAAATCAATATAATACATAATGTGTTAAAGTAGATGAGTTTCTTGAATTTTGGATCGAGGTCTCCTTGTTTGTACCACACAATCTGTTAACAAACAGGAATGGTTAAGATAAACTCTCATGTTCCAATACCAGCCTTAATATCTACCACTTAAGTCAACAAAAAACATCACCTGAGGGTATAAATTAAGACAAATTAACACAAGGTTACAAAATTTTTACCTGCAGCACTATTAAATTCTTGTCAAAATTGGATTGTATCCTGTGGGAAAACAAGAGTACGTAATTTTAAAGCTGTGCACAATAATGTTGGTAAAGCTTTCAGTAATCAAGATTTTATAATCATGAACAAAAGTTTCATATCCAAACCTACCGTTGAAAAACTCTTGCATAAATTGAAGAGAAACTGAATCACTGGAGTTCAACCTGTAGTACAAGCTACAAATTTCACCTTCATTCAGTTGCACTCTAAAGAAACTACCGTATGTAATATATAATTACTGTAGTTACTTTAAGAATAAGCAAAAGGCTATCAATGCGAAGACTATTACATTCTGTAGCTTTAATCATCTAACTACAGTACAGGACTGCAAATATATCATCTTTCAGCCTATTTCCTCTACTATTGCTCTCTTTACACCATGGATGTTAAAGTAATTTGCACAATGCATTTTGACTGGCTATAGCTTGCCTAAGATTAGCTAGTTAGGTTTTTCTTTTTAAATACAGGGGTTCCCCAGGTTACGAACGGGTTCTGTTCCTGAGGACGTTCTTAAGTCGGATTTGTGCGTAAGTCGGAACACATGCTATGCGCATACTGTACTTATAGTACAATGTTTAAAATACCACTATATATCATGGCCTAAGTTCTTATATACTGTACTTCTAAAATACAGTAAAAGTAAAAATTAAGTCATCAGGTAAATAGAATACTGCAAATTTCAAGTTTAACAAAAGAAGCAGCAACCCCACCCTGGCTCTCATACTTCTAGGCTAGTTTGGAAACTATCCTGTAGGTGGTGCTCATGGCACACATGTAACCCTACCATGTGGTCCCACACCATGGTTTTGTCAGTGGGTGTGGCTCATATGAGTCACTGAAGATGGCAATGCATTGCACCTCTTTACTGCATGCACGGTTGCATACAATTCTGCAATATCACTTGAAAAAATTTTCAGTGCAATCTACTGACTGTTACCTGCCTCTGGAACACTACAAATACAATAAGTCCTCATTTTATGTTGCCCCCGACAACGTTGTTTCATTATAACGTCGCTACTCTTTAGATACCCATGATTCCGACGTCCTGACCAATTCGTTATAACATTGTCACCCAACATGGACTACTTTGTATGGCGCATCACCCTCTCTCATCTTGGCGCACTACGTTCTCTGGCGGAGCGTCACATCATCCCCAGTCTTTGTTAGGCTTCCACAGCATATGTGCGTGCTTGAGTTTTTGCTATATAATTGGGGTATGCTATAACGAATCTAATTGGTTCTAGAACCTCGTTCATTATAGCATTTGTTCGTTATAGGATTAATCCGTTCCAGGCCCCCAAATACAACCACGTAACACTGAAAAATTTCTGTGGAATTTGTAAAAAATACGGTACTTTATCTTACCTTAGTGTTGTTCAGCACATTTCACCTTGCTTTGCTAAGTCTAGAGATTCCCTTAGCCACTTGCACAGTTTTTAACTCCTCTTTATTCTTCAAAATCGTACATATAGTCAATTTAGCCATCCCATATTCACCACTAAGTTTCGCAATGCTTGTTCCATTCTCATGTTTATTTATAATTTCTTTCTTAATTTCAAGGGTTATTAGCTTTCTCACTCGCTTTTGACGATTCATTGTTCCAATTGTACACTTGTATAACAAAATAGTTATAAAAATAACACGAATTTCCACATCAATAGACGAAATTTCAACAAGTTCAGTGGTGCACTGACTACACAATGAACCAATATGGCGCCTGACGCTCTTGCTGTGAGCCGCGGTACAACGATATTCATCTGCAGGATGAAATAGTCCCGTATTCATCCGCGTTTGTTGTAGGAGTTTCGTTCGTTATAGCATTCTCAATTTTATAGGTAAAAACCATTCGTCATAGGAATATTCGTAATAGAATCTGTTCGTTATAGCATACCTGTAGCCATTCGAAATGGCTTCCAAGCACCCATCAAGTGTTAGTGATGCTAGTGTTGTGGGGGGGAACCCCAGTCAGAGAGGGAAGGGGAGCCCCCCTCCGGGTCTCAGTGACTCATCAACCTCCTCTCTCTACCTCTGCCCATCAGTGAGTACAATACAAAATTATTTAGTTTATTTATCTTTTTGGATGTATAATATATATTTTCTAAATACCTGTACATTCAATTGAATTTATATACAGTATATGTAATATATTTTATGGGGCAAAGGGAGGCTGGGGAACATAACTAGAGTACAGCCACTCCTCGACTTACGATGGGGTTAGGGACCCAAATCCAGGTCGTAACTAGAATTGGTTGTAAGTCGAAAATGCGAAGATAATACACAGAAAATCTAAAATGGGTGTCACTTTTTCTTCACAGCACCACAAAACTCTCACTTTTAAGCATGCCAGCCATTTTAAATGGAATTACAAACAAAAATTTTGTCAGTACACAGCCCAATCACTAACGTAAGAACTTGAAAATACGTAATTTGAAAAAATTTTGGTACGACTGGGGCGGTCGTATGTCCAGGTCGTCGTAAGTCAAGTAGGTCATAAGTCGAGGAGTAGCTGTATTTTATCTATTTCTTATGGGGAAAATTTATTCCGTTAACGTTGTGTTTTTCAAGAACGTAACTACAACGTTAAGCGAGGATTTACTGTAATTACAAATAATTATCCAATAAAAATATCATTAAAATGACCAATACCACCAGTAATATAAATTTGCCATTCCTGACACACATTCCAGTACTAAATCGTACAGTACAGTATAGTCTCGGTTTACGCGGTCAATTAAACCCGTAGAGGTCCGCGTAAAATGAGAAACGCGTAAAGGAAATAACAAAACATATGAGATTAATTGAAATAGAGACTGGGCCGACCCCCCAGACTACCTTTTTCCGACACAATACGTACGTTGTAGTAAAAATAACATCTTAATTTTATGATGGTATGCACACAATTAATATTTAAGAGAAATATCAATAATATTATGTTTTTTAACACTTACGTTAGCAGAAAAAATGGCTGGGCACACAGGGATAGGGGGTTGGTTCTGAGGCAGAGGGCAGATTATTGGCCCTCACCTGCATCACTTGTATCACTGTGGCCATCAGTAGTCCATGATTTTGAGGGATTTGAGGAAGAAACAGAGTTGGACCAGGAGATTGTGTCCATTGGTCAGTCATTGGGCCTTGAAGTGGAGGAGGAGGATGTAGAAGAGCTTGTGATGTCTCATGAGCAGGAACTTACTCCTGAAGACTTGCAGCAACTGGAAGAGATGTTAAAGGCTGACAGTGGTGAGGAGGAAAAGGAAAGTGATGACCATATGTCAACTTCAGATTTGAAAGATGTTGTTCACAACTGGGAGAAGTTCAGGAAACTGGCTTCAAGGCACCCAGATGTGGAAAAAGCAGAACTTACTTTGTGTAATGTTGAGGACACAGTGGTCTCCTTCTTCAAACATCAGTTAATGATGAGGAGGAGAAATGCCCCACAAACAAAAATTGACAGTTTCTTCAATAAAGGCAGTGGGAAACAGATGCTAGCCCTCAGCCTTCCACTTCAAGGAGAGAGGATGTTCCTGCTGGAGAATCTGTCAGTTCAGAGGTTCCTGACATTCTCATGGAAGGTGACTCACCTTCCAAGAAGCAGTAAAATGCTTCTCCTCCACCCCCACTTCCTTCTCTTCTCCCTTCTCTTCCTCCACCTCTCACTTCAAATTCACATCAGCATCATCATCCAGGAGCCTTCTACATACACACCTCAAAGTAAGTGTACTTTACTCCCTTTTTTTTGTTGAATTTAGGCAATTTTCGGTGAGCTGGAACCAATTACCCAAAAACCCATTGAAACAATGGTTTCGGTTCACGAATTTTTCGGTTAACGAGCAACCTTCTGGAACAAATTGTGCTCGTTAACCGAGGGACCACTGTACTCCTCTTCAGCTGTTATCTTCAGCAAGTTTTTTGCAAATCAATAAAGTAATTACAAGCATTTTCTTCGGAGTCTGTAAATCTACATTAAAATCTTAAGAGAAAAAAGGAATACACATGCTCAATACTGTATGAAATTACCAGAGTGAGATGTGAGATGCAGATGAGGATAATGCAGAAGACAAAATATATATCAAGTGCACTGGGACCAGGGATGAATGCGCATACTGACGTTAAAACCACCAGTAATGTTGTCACAATGACGATCACAGCATTCACCGTTCGGCCCTGAGGAAAGTAAACGGGTTAAAACCAAAATTCTTCTCTTCTCAGGGTAAAATAATTTCCTTATCACTACTATTTAACTATGATCACTTTATCCATATTCTTATCTCCTATTTGTATATACACTACAGTACACCTTACTGGGCTACCTGTCATGACGGAAGACAAGAGACGGAGACTGCATGAATTTATTAGCCAAGGCAATCAACTCTGTGAATGTAAGTATTGGCAAGGAGAAAGCTTTGTGACCAGTGCATATTATATAAAAAATAAATACAGTAGTTATATGATATCTGCTCAGGGAAGCCCTTATTGCACGCAAGGCCCTCAAGTCTCCGTTTACATACAGTATATACCTACCTTATGTACACAAATTTGGGGAGGAAAACCAGCAGCAATGTGGATTGTGATGCAAACAATTACAGGTAACGTTAAATGACTTTATTCTTAACCCTTTCACTACAGACACTACTTTTAATGTCTTATCTGGCTAATGCCAGAGGATTTTATTCAGCTCAGAGGGGACCCCATACACAAGGGGCTAATCACAGTGAAAGAGTGTTGTTCTGTACGTCTTGACTAAATGAGGTGTTCAGAACTGCACAACTGTACTACAACCTTCTATTTACACTTGGTCTGCATTTAGCAATGTACAGGTTGCTTACTTGGACAGCGGACCTGACAACCATAGGACAGTAGTGTACTGTAGTTACCTTAGAGACTCATTGGACAATATCCCAATTATAAACTGGAACTATTCCAGTAATAATTCTGTACACCAAGGTTATACAAGTACAGTATTTCAAAATTATACTCTGTTCCCACACCACTAGTAGAGTGAGGATGTATGTGCTATAGATTAAAGTTCCATTGATAGGAAGTCTCCAATGTTCAGATTTCAAGGCCATCTGGCTACTCACAAATATAAATCTAGTTTATCTTGCCGATTCCCAGAAAATGCTTGAATGCACCTTGAGACAAGTGAATTTCGTTGTGGTGTCATGTTCACACACTGTTTAGGAAGCTATATAGCTGTACAGATTGGTTAAACACATTCCCCCTGGGGCCAGGGCATGCTGTGACTCGTTCCTTCTTGGATGCCATTTTGAATATCTCAATTTCCCCAAGGATGACAAAGTTGCACCCAGCAGATTTGAGTTCAGTACACCCAAATTATACATATTCACTCATAAAAGTTTGTGAGTATGCAAAAACACACTTAAAGGCAAAATCATAGTTTGGCTTGAGATTGTGACTCCCAGTGTAGAAACAATCAGCTAGTTCCAAATAATATACTCAACCTACATACTGTACTGTACTTTGGACCAAATAGTACTTCTATTAAACTGCCTCTTGCTATTCAGTAGTATAAATTGGGGAACTGTTAATGTTCTAGTTGCTCTTGGTAAGTGAGGGATGTCAGAGTTTACTATTGAAATGTACTCACTGTTTCCTGCCTTGTACTGTAGGTAAGAGTTAAATCAGTTAATGTTAAGGAAATCACATTTGTATAATGCAAGTTAATAAAATAAGACACAGCATCAGTATAAACAAGAACTATAGATATTTTCTAGGTGTAATAGGAGAAGTGCATTACATGTTGCTCTTCCCATGTTTAAAGGCCCACATATCAACATCTCTAAGAAGCCTTTTTCTATCATTCACCTCACTCTTCAAAATAAAAAGGAAAAATGAAAACTAATTCACCTAGGTATTTCCAATTGAGGTTACTAGCAGCAGTACTGCCCTAAGATCTGATACCAGATCTTTTGTTCTGATATCAGGGTAGGAATTGACAGTCATAGTATAAACTTTCTTTTATTGCCAAAAGGAGTTCAAAATGTGAGTTTGGTTCTTGATTTGATTAGATGGGATCAAATATCTGATTCCACTTCAGCTGGGGTAGAAGGTAGTTTTGCAGTGAAAGCCATATAGTACAGTATCTGCACAGACAGATCCTGCCAACAAACATGTCAAGCCCTCTGATAAATATGGATTCAACCAAAGGGTGTTTTACCACTGTACACACAATAAAAAAGTATCTTAATGGGTGGGTCTGTTAAATTTAAAAATGAACACTGACTCCTGTTGTTTCTGTAGGGTTATCAAAATGCTTCATCCATTGTCATATTGTCTAACACAAAACTTTAAAGATACATTTTGATTGTGTGTACATCTAACAAGTCACTTGTTGATGCCCATATGACAAATAAAATGCCATTACTGTACTAAAATCTAGAAACTTAATGAATAGTAAAAATTCTTGATATACAAAGTACAGTACACCCAATATTCAGTTCAGTGCCATGGGATGAGACTTCTTACACTGCCCTGTCTGTAACACTAAAGCAAAGCAATGCATACATGCTATTCCCAGTCAACAGAAAATGGTAGAGCAGGTTCCACAAGTTCGAGTGAGAATTGTTCTGGGGACAGCTGATGAAAGATCTTTATAAATGTTACACGAGTAGTTAACATCGTACTATAATGTCCTCTAAATTTATGTATCAGTCCTGTATATCTGTATTCAATATACTGTACTTTACTGTACAGTATGGATAGATTTATGAAATGAAGCTATACAGTAATTAGTATACAGAACATTTTTTTTTTTTTTTTTTTTTTTATATATATATACAGAACAGTACTTCTATTAACTACATTTTTACAATTTCTTAATCTGTACTTACTGGACGGGCTTCTCCAGTGCCAAATAATGGTACATCAGGCAAGGGATCATACTCATCCATCCCAACTAACTGCAAAAAGAAAATTTTAATTTGTACAGTGCCATGAATACATACAATACAGTAGTAGTTAAATACAATTTAAAGATTCAAATTCCTGTGCACAGTACTATGCAGCATTTTGGAACAAACCCACATATGAACTCTTCATAAAATTACTATTTTTTCCTTCAATATAATTTTGTTTATCTATACTGGTACTGTACTGTATTACCTAAAGACCACTTTAAAGGTGGCCATGATGGGGGCAGGAGGCTGATAGTCTGTGTAGAATCCCACTACTTCTTCTTGATAGTCTTGTTCAAGGTGATTATTTTCAAGTTCAGTAACAGTGCTGCTCTAGTTTTCATGGCTTCAGTTGGTAATCCATTTCATCGGTCTAACAAGTCCTGCATGAAAAAGTACTTCCTCATGCATGACAATTTTGTGAACAGTGCATGCTCAGTACTTGCCAACAGTGCGTAACAGAGACTTGACCGATCGTCCAAGTGGCTAACAAGCCGATCAGTGGTGAAGAGGATAAAAGTACTAAAAAGTAAAAAAAGTAAGACACTATAACCTGCCCCTAGTGTGAGCTCATTCAAGACCAGACTTGATCAACACTGGCGATACATTCTTGAGCCAGTTCATGCCCAGAACTTGCCAACAATGAGAATTGTGACATGACTTGACCGACTGCTCAAGCAGCTAACAAGCCGATCAATGGCGAAGAGGATAAAGTAAAGTATTGTGGTTGTAGCGCTTGAAATCTTGAATAAGAGACTCGGGTAAATTTCTTTCATCCCTTTCAGGATTTTTAATGCCTCTATGAGATCCGGAATGTGGTGTTCGCTCTGAAGAGTTGTCAGTCCCAAGGCCCTCAGCCTACTGTACAGTACTACAGTACTGTACTTGGTTAAGCATGCTAAATTAGTACAGTACAGGAAAAATCAGTCACCCTAAGATTTCCTTCCTTCTAAATCCAAACTAAAATTATGATAAAGCTACTAGGGGTACATAATCATTAATATTCAGTTAATTTGACCAAGAACAGCTGACAAAGCCAAGAGAGGCTTGTTTTCTGTAGATTCCTTATGCCCACAGCATCTGGGGATCTTAGGGCCAGGTGATCACCCATCAAGTACTAACCAGACCCAACGCTGCTTAACTTCACTGATCGGACAATATTGCGGTGTTTCCAATGTGGTGCAGTAATAGCAACATCAATATAGGATACAGCACATACACTTGAACTGCATAAGCTTTACAGTATGAAAGAAAACACACACCAACTAACCAAATCAAGTTTTTTGTTAGGTTATGTTTATTGAGTTCACATCTCTTCTCATAAATGTTTAATGCCATTGTCTCAAGGGTTAATGTATGTCAACATCTCACTTCAACTGCTATTTTATGAATATTCATCCTAGAGACATTTTTTTCTGATGTCTGACCCTTGTTTCTCCAATAAGATAGATTAAAAAAGAATAGATGGCACTCATTGCAATCAATCGAAGTTGGTGATGCTAATCCTAGATGACTGAATTCAGTCATTTACAAACCTAACCTAACATAATATAACCTAACTTAACCTATCCGGTAACCAACCAAACCTAACCAAATAAACCTAAGCAACCAAACCTAAACTAACCAACTAAACCTGTTATCGCCAAGCACAAATTGTGCGCGCCGGCCACATGTTAAGTGAAGAAACTGTTTACAACTAAGAATAGCTTACTAAGCGAGATGGAACCGGTAGCAGCTGTGTGACTGCCTGAGGAACAGTCTATCGCCGTCTACTGTAAAGGCAACATCTTACAACAGTTTCCCGCAGGACATTATATTTGTTCTCGTAGGTCTAACCCCAGACCCCAAAACGTGAGTGTGGTTGTGAACTGTTGAATCCTCTGAGAACTCTTAAATAACTTTAATAAGTGTAATTATGTACTGCATATTGATCGTATTATTCAAACTGTGTCCTGATGTACCAGCAGTTGTTATTTGTGAATTGTATTCAACAGGTTTTGACCGAATTATACTCATCGCGTCAACGACAAGGGTCTTATTGTCCTGCACAAACCAAAATCGCTCCTATGAGCGATTACAAAACCTATCCTAACAAACCAAACCTAACCAACTAAATCTAACCAGCATAACATAGCCAACTAATATAACCTAACTTAACCAACCAAACCTAACCAACTAATGTAACCTAACTTAGGTAACCAACTAAATCTAACTTAACCTGACTTACCAACTGCAATAAACCTAACTTAACCAACCATGAAGATGATTAAGTAAAATAAGTTTAGTTGTTTATAAACATAAGATTAAAGAAACCATCACCAGAGTAATACATCTAAAATTATGCTATTTTTCAATTTAAATAAAATATTCCTTATTTTTCCTATTGTGTACAGTATTGGTGTTACAGTGGTAATACAATGAACCCTCTACGATTCGGACCCGGTAAATCCTGATTTCGGAAGATTCGGAGAAAATTTGGGGGTTCCGGGAGCTAAGAAGCCTCCCTAAGAAGCATTCCCAAAACAGAACAAAGATCATCTTAGGTGTAACTAAGATGTCAGCGTGTGGGACACAGTGCCCAAGGTGGGAAACATAAACAGAGTCGTCAATTGTTGTTTGTGGGAATATTATTTCATTTTCTCAAGTAATGATACAATGTTATCATAGGTAAATGCATGGTTTATATAACCTTTTATCACTGTGCCTGTCACTGTTTTCAAATTAGACTACAAGAGATGTATTTTTCCCATATGTACACCTGGCAACGAGAGCAGTAAGGGGAGTGAGAGATTGCGTTTGCCAGTTAGCGCGTTGGGTGCTGTTGTAACTCGTCACTCCTCCCTACCATATTTCACTGGATTTATTGTTATGATTAGTGTTTACTGGTATAATAGTGCCAAATAGTACAGTATTAAATCATGGCATTGTGGCCAGGTTAGAATCATCACTGTAATCACCAGGCTACTGGGCCAAACTGTGAGGTGTTATGATTGTTTTTCAACTCATATTTTTGGGTAGATATACGCAATTTTCTTCATTTACTTTTGTGCAGTTACATGCACACACCATCCTACATACATATTGCGAAAAAAGTAGAAGAAATATTTGTCCTTAGGGCAAACACGAAAAGAGAATATACATTTCTTTGCACAAGAGTTAGCTGCCTCAATGAGGAAGAGGGAGGCGAGTACAGAGTGTAGGGGGCTGGGGAACATTGCTAGGGAATCGGCATCCCAGCTGGTTTCCATTGCTATGATGAAACTGGGAGGGTATGCAAATGGGGACTGTTAAACTTTCATTTGGCTTTTATTTACTGATTTGGCAATACAGTACAGTATTTTTTGTTGTAACTTACTTAATGGTATTAATTTGATTTATTCCTCACATTTCCTGGTACAGTACAGTACAGTATATTTTTAAAAAACTATGGCTACAAGAGGAAAATACACACAAAAGTTTTTTCCTAAATACTCCCTGCTAAAATGGGAGGTGCATCTTATATGCCGTAAAATACAGTACTGTATTTTAGATGTTTTTTAAATCATTATTTATCTTTTTAAACATTTAGTACCTGTATATTCGCTGGAAGATACGGACAATTGGCTTTTTCGGACAGGTGGTCCACTCCTTTAAGTCCAGATCTATACTGTATATCTATCACCACTATTTCATGGGTTCAAGTCTTAGCCCAAGACACATGTTGAAAGGGTGCTAGCCAGTGTAACACTACCAAACATCACAAGTTTCCTTTGGGTACTCTGGTTTCCTTCTGTGCTAACAATAGACAATAAAGTTCATAACAAAGTAACAAAGAACAGACCAGCCGCCCGAATTGCTAGTACAGTACGCTGATATGTGGTGAAATGATAGATAAGGTAAGAAACGAGGCATCACTAAAATGGAACTTTCTTGATTGTACTTTTAGTTAGCAAATCTTGGGTTGAAATTTAAAAAGATATTCTTTGAATTTACTGGGAGCACCAAGCTGACTACTGACCTGACAAGAATCAATGATTACCAATTATTTTAGCAGTTTGTGCCATCTACCACGAGTACATAATTGGAGATTTTTGTTAACTATTGCCTGGGAAGATATTGGAAGCACAATGCATTGTCTATGGTAGACCCTGCTGCTATATGGCATCATAAAAATTGTGACCAAGTTCCAGGTTGCTGATCTGATTTCCTGCCTCATTTACACACCATTGCAGGGTCTCAATTGTTTCTCTTCATTTGACACCACAACTTAACATATTGTTTCTCACTCCTGATATGTTTAATTTTTTCCATTTCCGTATATTTTTGTTCCATTTATTTCCCTCCCCCCAGGCCCCGATGTGGGTTGGTGACCTGTGCTTGGGTGAAATCATCTCCCCCCCCCCCCAAAAGAGGTACCGGTAATGTTTGAGATGGCTAACACCCCAGGATCAATTGATCGACTTCACTCATTTTTTCCACAGATGTTGTTTGGATGATAATAAGTAATGAAAATGATATGACAATGCACAAAATCAAATATAACCTGACCTAACCAACCTAACCCAATCATACCTACTTACCTAACCTTACCTAACTTCCTAACCAGACTGGATTTTGATATCAGGTACCAATGAAAGCACTTTTCTTGAAGTGGCATTGTGTGTTTAGTACAACATTGCTTGTTGTACCAAAACAAATATCTCTTGTTTACTGTCAGCTCTGTGCTACATTTTGAACATTTGCATGTCATCCCAATTAGTCCATACTGACAGAGGAAACCTTACAGATGGTCTTCATCCTCCACAGGCACGAAATTACTGCCATATGACCAGTTTTTTTGTCACGTTTTACCCCGTAATTTCCCTCTTCATTCATGGCATGCCCATTACAGGCGATTTATAATCGAAGAGAAATACAGAAGCAATAAAAAATATTGTTTTTATTACTGACAATAATTCAAACCAAAATTGTGGAAACCATGATAACATAAACGAAATAGAATACATTTTTCTGGTGTTAACTGTCTCTTCCACTATCAACACCAGACATAACAACTCAGTGTAAGCATATGCAGGTCATAAATGTTCTATAAATTAAATAAAAAACTGCTAGTTTAATTATGTGTGTGTTCTTAATACTTATCGGTACCATTTCCTTTGTCATTAAACAATAATTTTTTCGAGTCATGACTGATAAAAACCAGATAGCAATCATTAAAATGAGTTACAATAATTACATATAAGTGTATACATGTTTAGTATGTCAATAAATGTATATTGAGAACTAGAACACACAGTAATGACGAGACATTTGCTATACAGTACACTACTAGACAGACATAAACCCACCTTAAAGTAATGAAAGGATTATAGTGCAGTGTGAGGAGGACTGTAAGAGGGAGGTGTGTCGTTGTTGACAGTGTATACAGTCAGAGTCAGCTGTGAGAGGTCGACAGTCAGGTGTTTGACTGTAGTGCGCCATCTATGTGTGTAGGGGGAGGCCGCCTCAGTATTGTTCTCCCGGCTTTATACTGTCACTCAGTAGTTGTGCTGATGCAGCCGGCAAAATGGTGAACTGGTGCTTATTACCAGATCACGTCTTAGAAGTTATATTCTCCTATTTGGACGTACATGATTTACGAAACTGTTCCCTAGTGTGTAAAAATTGGTACAAGTATTTGAACGACGAGAACAACGATGTGTGGCGGCTGCACTGCGTCAGAAAATTGGCCGAAGAGGCCCTCAAATCAGACCTTTTAGCATCTGTTCCAACCTATAAAGCAAAATTAAGAGCTTTTTACCATGCGTGGAACCCTAATGACTGCTCTAGAAACATATACGTGAAACCTAACGGGTTTACCCTACACAGGAACCCGGTGGCTCAGAGTACGGACGGCTCGAGAGGGAAGATCGGGTTCAGGTCTGGTAGACATGCCTGGGAGGTTGTGTGGGAGGGACCTCTGGGCACTGTGGCTGTCATTGGCATAGCCACCAAGGACGCTGCAGTACAGTGCCCAGGCTATGTCGCTCTATTAGGCTCAGATGAACACTCGTGGGGGTGGAATCTTGTAGACAATCACTTGTTACATAATGGAGATTCACAAGGAAATTATCCACAGTTAAATAATGCACCAAAGTACCAGGTAAAGTAACTTTCCTCATTTAAATTATACTTTATGAAGTGAATAATTAAGGTATATGTTCAATATTTGTTTTTGGCTTGGCTGATAAAATAGAGATGTATTTTATGATCACTTGAATGAGGATTTTGTGATCTGAAGAGTTTTAATGAAACTATTTTAATGCATAGAAAGCAAATCTGGTGCTGGAGTAAGGAAAAACTCAATGTATTTAAATAGTTATTATTGGTAGGCTTTTTGTCTTTGATGCTTCAATTAAATACACAAAAAACAATTTGGTAAACAATGATTTTAAAAGGAATGAGCCACTGAATCTGACAGTTCAGTGATGTTTTATTTGATGCACTGAAAGCACAGAGGCAAAGAAATCTATCCTACACAGTACTAAATCTAAATGAAAACAAACCATTAAGGTGACAAGTTTGAATATATAGTAGCAACTGTTATTGATGTATTTTAATAAAGTATTTCCAACACTTGCAGCTCAACACATGAAAATCTGTCTTCAGAAAAAGTGATGTTCAAATAATGAAAGCATATTGATAAGGTTAGGTAAGGGTTTGTGAAGTTAAAATGAGGACCACTTTAATAATCTCTGCTGTTGACGGTATTAACACTATCTTGTTAAGTTTTGGTAATTTTAGGTGAAGATAATTAAATGGAGTAGGAAATTTCTAGGAAGTACTATTGGGACTTATTAGTCTTATTGAAACTTAATAGAAGGAAGATTGGGATGACATGGGTGATGTTAGTAATGAATTATTTTACAGAACTTCAAACCTAACCTTTAGCTCTTCTTTGCACTGCCGTAGTTTTTGAAAATTAGTTACAGATAGTCATCACAAATTTCCTTTCAGTAAACCTTGTAGTTATATACTGTATTGTATTTTTGGGGCTTATACATAGAAATTTGAAATTGGGCCTGGTTATATAAGAATTACTAAAAATTTCTTACTGTTTTAACAGGTGGATGATGTTAAAGAAAATAATTTTAAACTTTCTTAGAATTGTGTTTAATTTCCAGGTGCAATACAATTCAAATACAGTATTGCTTGTTTACATAAGCTGTTTGACTACAGTACAGTGCTGCATTAAGCGTTTTTTGAAAGATGACACGAATTAGTTAACTAAAATATATCCCAAGATGATCATGTTAAGATAGATTGGATTATCAGTACACTACTGTACTGTATGTCATGTTTCATAAATGGTTTAAGGCTGTTGGCATACAGGTCATCTTTAATTGCCTTGTTTATACTAGAGAAGGACAAGGGACAATTTAATGTTTAAAGGTACCAGTACCTCAAAGGGCATTACTCTTCATCAAATATGCATACTGTATCAGGAGTTAGTGGATGACTGCCCTAACAGAAGTCACAGACTTAAGTTAAAGATGCTATCATTTCCTAAAACTGTTCGGATAATAGTTGAGGACTCTGGGAATAAACTGCCAGAGAATATTGTGACAGCATCAAGTGTGAGGTCATTTAAGACCAAGCTTGATCAACATGTTCAGGTACATGTAAGAGCCCCTACATGCCACCCCAGTACAATATACAGTAGGTACAGTACTTACCAGCAATATATATATATATGTAACAGAACAACCAACCACCTGCTAGGACAGTAAGGTGGCTAAGAGGATAAAGTGCAGTACTGTGCTGTACAGGTTATGTGTATTAAATGTAGAGGAAGTTCAGATTCACAAGTTTTAATATCCCCTCCCAATTCTGTTATGAGAAAAAGTATCTGATACTCCTGTTAAATAAATAGGTACTGTATATGAGTCCACTCACCCAAAAGTAAAGTTTTATTGCATTGCACTGTACAGTACCAGGAACAATATTTTGCCAGTGATACAGTACAGAAAATACCTGTACAGTATGCACATATTATATTACTGTGAAATTTACTATGACAAAAATCCCTAAGAAATATAAAGAACTACACATAAGTTGATTCTTACAAGAAACTTTATTTTCCTTGGAAACTTTAAATACACAGCACATGCATAATTTGAAGATGAATTTTATAATACCTCTATTACCATTTAGAAACAAATTAATTAGTGCAGTGTATATTTTAGAATGATATCCTTAAACTTGACCAGTGTGGACTAACACCTTGGGGATGGTCTGGAGCAACATTACCTTAAATCTAGCTTTTTACATTTCTTTCCCTCTTGTTGTAGCCTCTGTGATGGACCTCAGGTAATCAGTGACTGGATGGAGTATTTGGAGGTTTATAGGATTACAGGATGGAAATGATGATGACTGGCTATATAATGTAGTTGTACAGGTATGTCCAAGAATAATTGAATACCTGCATAGTACTGTATTTCATTAAAGGAATTTATTGATTGCTGGAATTTTAGGTAGATGTTGATATGTCTGGTAATGTGGCTTTGGTGGAATACTGTACAGTATTGATACAATTTATACAGTACTGTATACAATACAGTATATCATGAATTGCACAACCACCTTTTATTTTATTTTTTAAATAAACACAAGCTGACTAGCTGAGGGTAGCATCAATAGCCATTTGCTCAGTCAGCTGGTGACCTCTTTTCAAGATCAAGCTGTATAGAGAGGATATGGCATGAGGCTCCCAACTAACATAGCTTATTCTACCAGGCATCTTGATGAGAGAGAAAGGTGTGATGTAGCGCAAGACATGTCAACCCAAAGACTATATACGAAAGATAGGAAAGCTAGTACAAAAGCTATTGAATTAACTGTGCCGCATAACCGGAATGAGCGACATCTATCGGCAAGGCCCCCAAATAAAATCTAGCTCCGAAAGGGGGGTGAGTCAATCTCAAACTCCACCTCTGCTTCTTGTGTTATTATTCATATCCTACTGTGCGCCATGTTAGGGTGCCAACCCGGGTAATAGGTAAAGGCCGCGTTCATAGTCCATTTATTGGCAAAGATGACAGGGGGGGGGGGACATGTCCTTACTGTGAGACGTTTGAGGCGGAACTGAACTCCGCATTCGTTGTGTTAATTATGCATTATATATACACTCAACTGTTCCTGTTGTCAAGAGAATCGGTGAAATATAAAATTAGGATGAATTTCTTTGGATTTTCCACACAGGAAACACGGGTGAGGCATGGCTGTTGTGTACAAACTTGGCGCCACTGAAGTTGACGTATATTCGATAAACAAACAGACAACGTTCTCACCGATACCAACGCCATCTGCCTAAGAGGCCCTTTCTACACGCACACCCAAAAGCTCGAGCTTTCCTATCTTTCGTATTATAGTGTTTGTGTCAACCTTAATTCACTTTACTTAAAATTCATATTTTGTTTTTTGAAACACCATTAATTAATGCTAGACTTGTTTCACAAACTATTAAGTTAATATAAGTACATAATGTTAAGTATACTGTACAGTACCTGTAAATCAAAATGAGTATTTAATTATTTTTACATGTAAATGTGTTTCAAAAAAAAGATGTTTTGGCACATCCCAGACTGGACACGTTGTGACCCAGAATGTGTTTGGTAACAATTGCTGAAGTGTACGTTAAGGAAGTAAATTTACCGAGTTCAATTGATTTTATTGAATAAAAAAGTTAGTTGATACAGTACTGACTTTCTTCTCAGTAGTTTTACTTTTATTTGAGTAACATTTCAGACAGTTATCTATAATATTGCTTTATTATTTTTTCGGGGAATCTCGTTAGCTTGTTAATTTATTCTGGGTGTTTCAACAGTGACTGTGTGATATATTCCCGGTCAAGCAGGACTCGGTGAACGCACTACATTCCTTCGCATCAGTGGACACATTGTAGGCATACCCCTCTATAATGAATTTATCTTTATTTCTAAACACACCCTTACCAGCAACAGCAACATTTGAAAGATTGTTCAGTTGTGCCTCACTGATCTACAGCCCAAAAAAGGCTACAATAAGTAACAAAAACTTTGAAAATCAGCTTTTGTTTAAGATTAAATGAAAGGTACGTGCAATAGATAATAAACTGAATATGCATAAATTTTATATTCCTCATTACATAGTACAGTACTGTATATGTTCCCAGTGTATAGTTATCAGTGTTCAGTTTTCTTTAAGCAAATAATGTTTTGAATCGTTCAGTACAGTACTTACCATAGGTTCTTGTCATTATTACAGTACAGGTATTAGGATCTTTTTGTCTACAGGCTATGGGCAGCAGTCTAGTGAATCAGAATTACAGTGTCTAGTTTGTCAAATACATTACAGTATTATCACTAATTTACTACCAGTATACTTTATAAACTTGTTACTTTAACCAGTACAGTGCTGTACTTAAAGGTAAAATGAAGAAAGAGTACAGTATACTTCTATTTTTACACGAGTATTGTAAGTTTTTCTCTGAGTAACAGTACTTTTACTCATGTATCTTTTTCCTGTATAGTTCAGTACTGCAACTGCACAGTTCAAATCTCCTTCAGACTCAGGCCTTTCCAAATTAGGTAGAATTTTTCAAATATCCCTGTAATGTATTTTGTAATACTTTACAATACTTTGACATAATCTAAATTAGGTAATGATACTCTATTCTGTTATTGCAATGAAAATACTGTTGTGTATGTTTTACTCCAACAAATAATTCAATATACATGTATACTGTACTTAATAAATTACTGAAAATAAATCAATAAAATACATGTATCACACAAAGCAAAGTAGCATTTATAGATACTGTATGTGTTTCTCCAGTGCATCACAAGACCTCAATGCCTATTAGGATTCAAATTATTATACATAGGAGTGGGATCACATTCATACACACACATATGTACAGTACAGTAAAGCTCTTTTTATGTTGAGGATGCATTTCCAAGAAAATACGAAATGCAAAACAAATGTAAACTGAGCCTTATTTCACCATTGACTTCTTCTCAAACATTGAGGATACTTTTAGGACATGCTTTGGTAAAAATTTTAAGAACGTAAGAATAATATGCAACCAAAAGAAGTTTCCTTCTTTATGCAAAATAAATATTT